AGCACTTTCTTGGAGACAGGATCACACGTCCAGGCAGAGTTTGAAGCCAGGCTGTCTGACTCCTGAAGGGTTGTCTTTATCCACCAAACTGCATAGCTGCTACCTAAAACGCTTCCTCATTCTTTTTTTTTTTTTTTTTTGTGTGTGTGTGTGTGGCTGTAATTTTATGGCTGCATCAAATTAAATGACTGCCCTGTAATTTGCTTGACCTACTCCTGTTAGTGAGCATTTATGATATTTCTAACTCGATGTTATACACATCAAAAAAAAAAAAACACAAATGCAGTTAGGGATGGGTGTGGTGGTACAGGCTGCAATCCCAAAACTTGGGAAGTGGAGGCAGGAGGCCAGCCCTCAGACTTGGGTTATTTGAGACCTTGTCTCAAATCAAGCAGAACATAACAAAATCTCAACCAAAAAAATTATAACTAGCAAGCATGGTCACATATCATTTCAAACATGTGGGATACATCAATTCTTATTTATTTAAGACAAAGTTTTAGAATTGAATATTCTGAGACAATTTTGAAAAAGGTGTGTGTCTGTGTGTGTGCGTGTATGCAGATGTCTCTGGCTATGTATTTATTTGCATATGTGTGTGCAGATGCCCATGGAAGCTAAAAGAGGGTGTTGAAGTTCTTGAGTCTGGAGTTGTAGGGTACTGTAAGCTGCCCAACACAGTCACTGAGAACCAAACAACAGTCCTCTACAGGAGCAGTGGAAGTCGCTAAGCTATGTCTTCAACTTTTTTATTTTTTATTTTTTTTATTTTTATTTTTTGGTTTTTCGAGACAGGGTTTCTCTGTGTAGCCCTGGCTGTCCTGGAACTCACTCTGTAGACCAGGGTGGCCTCGAACTCAGAAATCCACCTGCCTCTGCCTCCCAAGTGCTGGGATTAAAGGTGTGCACCACCACTGCCAGGCTACAAGATACATTTTTATTTTTAAAATAAAGATCATAAAAATGAAATTAATTCATCCAATTTTTTTCAAGATATGACAAGAAATCTTTACATACATGAAAAAATGCAGAGATAACATTCGCAGCTTAATTTTAATGTTTTAAAAAGTCACATCAATTCTACAAATCACTACCTCTAGAGGCAGCTTACTGAGTCTACTCCTTGTGTCATGCTTACAGTGAAAAAGTGTTCTAAACACAATGATCAGAATTCTTATATTCTAAACAACTTCTTTAAAATGTAACAATCAAAATGCGTTTTACATTTACGCTTAGGACTATGACACACTAAACCTACATGGGAGAACTTATGTCTTGACATAATACCTCGGAAACATTGCTTCCTCTAAATTAATGGTCCATTTAAATTCTCTAGTGCATACCAAGTTATTTAAGACAAGCATCTGCAACGCTACTTTCCTTTTAAGAACAAAGATATTTAATTTTTATTGCCTTTGGGAAACACAGTGGCTTTAAGACAATTTTTAAGCCGGGCAGTGATCCTTTAATCCCAGCACTTGGGAGGCAGAGGCAGGCGGATTTCTGAGTTCGAGGCCAGCCTGGTCTACAGAGTAAGTTCCAGGACAGCCAGGGCTGTACAGAGAAACCCTGTCTCGAACCCCCCCCCCAAAAAAAAGACAATTAAAAAAAAGATTTATCTATTTATTTATTTATTTATTAACGTATACGAGTCCTCTGTCATACACATATACTTCTGCATGCCAGAAGAAGAGATCAAACCAAGTCGATGGTTGTGAGCCACTGTGTGAGTGCTGGGAATTGAACTCAGGACTTCTTGAAGGACAGCCAGTGATCTTAACCACTGAGCTATCCCTCCAGTCTCTTTGAGACAATTTTTAATATGACTGTAAAATTGGCATCTCCCTGCCTCTTGCCTTCCCCCCTCATATCCGTGGCGAGTGAGAATCCCCGCCTCTGATCCTTGCTGTGTACTTGCCTTGCAGTGTAGCACTCTGGTTAGTGTTATTCTGGTTTGAAGGAGACTGAGACCATACTGTCCTTAAGAACCTTCTGGACTGGCCAGGCTAGAGTAAGTCACCATGGACCACTGGACAACCTTTATTTAATCAGTAAACCAAGCAAGCCACTGCATGGGAGAAGGCAGACTCCAAGGAGGAGGGGGCTCACTAGGCTTCTAACCACGTGACCGGCTCTGGCTGTGTTCCACCTGAGAGTAAAACTAAATAAATAAGCTGACTGTGCTGGTCCCTGATTTAGGTTCTGCAGAAGTTGGTGGCTCCAGCCAAGGAGTTTGAGGCCAGCCTGGACAATAGGACAGAAAACATTTAAAAAAATGAAAAATCCCAGCAGGCTGTCCTGCTATGATACCTCAAGAAGAAACCAGATGCTTCTTAGGCTGTGTCTATTTCTCATCATCTCCAGAGAAGAATTGAAAGACGGTTGTAGCAAGAGATTAATCCCTGCCCCAACCCTCTGTGTGTGTGTGTGTGTGTGTGTGTGTGTCCGTCCATCCATCCATTTGTCTCTCTGTAGTTAGGTAGGGCTTTCTAGATGAGCAGAACCAACAGGACTATAAAGGGACCTATTATACTATAAAGAGAACTTACTAAGAAGGCTTACAACCTATATGGGCCATGTAGTCTTAGCAATGGCTATCTGTATGCCTGAGAGCCTGGTAGCTGCTGAGTCAGAGAAGTCAGATGCCTTAGTAGTCCCAATGTGGTGTCTGTCAAAGGCCTAGGAGATTCCTGGAGAGTCAGGCTGAGGCTGAAGTCTGATGTCAGTGAAGGGGACAACAGCTGCAGCAATGAGGCAAGGCACACTCTCCAGCCAGAGCCCAGACAGGCAAAGGAGCTGCACTGATATTCTCAGGATCTGTTGCTATCTGGGCCACCTACTGGGAGGTGCAGCCTCCTCTTGAGGAGTGTCTTCTTCCCTCTGTTAATCCTTCCTGGAAATGCTCTGGTAGATCTGCCCATAGGTGTGTCTTTAGTTCATTCCAGATTCCATCAAGTTGACAATCGAGATTACCCGTCTGGGCTAGAGTGACAGTTGTGAAGTTAAGAGCACTTCCTTTTAACCTGAATTTGTTTCCCCGGCATCACTGTGGGGTATTACAACTGCCCATAACAACAGCTTCAGGGAATAAGAGACAACCTCCATGAGCTCCACCCCCACATATATAGACACACACATACAAATACATCTTAAATAAGTGTTTATCAGTGAGTGAAAACTGACTCTAGAAGTATGTATGAGTGTACACCTGCTGCAGTAACAGAAGACCTTACAGTTGATTATTTATACATAATAGAAAATTGCTTCTCACTGCTCCAGAGTCTAGGGAATTCCAGAACACGACATCATTAGATTCCATGTTGGGAAGGGTGGCCCATTCAACAATTACAAATTCTTGTTGAGTTCTCTCATGGGGGATGGCTAGCCAGAACCCTCTGATCTCACAAGGGCATTCCTTCAAGACTTAAATCTCTTCCAGGTCCATTTCTTCTTCACAGTATCACATGGGGGAGGGGAGGGACACATTCAGAAGAGGGTAGCAAACCAGCTGGCTTCTTGGTATTTAAAACCTTTCATTTGTTGGCTCCAATTCCTGGGAAGTGTACTGATGCAGAGACAGTGTCAAGTTTCCAGAATCATACTGCAACCAGGCTTGACCAACGGCAGATGTTAAAGATCAGGGTGATCTAGTAATACTTAACGCCTACTTAACGCCTGAAGAAAGGGACATTTGCTTGGTGAATTTCTATCAAAAGCCAGTACTTCTGTTTATGGATTGGGTCAGAGGCTGGAAACAAAAGTAACAGAATCTGTCTGGCATATCTGAATCAGGGGGTCACATCTTCTTCCTGGGAACCAATCTGGAGGAGCTCAGTTAATCGTTTGCTAGGTTTTGAGATGAAGGTCTTATTTGTGGTCTAGGTTGACCCGGAACTTCCTATGTAGTATGAGCTGACCACAAATTCACAAATCTTCTCGTTTGGCCTCCCAAGTGCTGGAACGGCAGGTGTACTCTACCACCCTTTCTGTGTTACTTGGGAGAGCTTCATGAAGGAGTAGTACTTAGGATTTTTTTTTTAAGGCTATTGGTCAGGCTAAGGCATAACAAGGCTTGACATTTGAAAAATTAACTGCAAATGTTTATTGGCTTTTCACAGTAGATGGAACTTCGAATGAGCTGCATCGTGTCTTATTCTAACACAGTGCTCCAGAGGGAGAATTCAATTTGGCCTTGCTAATGCAAGGCAAGTGCCTCAAAGGTGGAATTCAAATGAGTAGTCTGAGTGTGAGTATGTGTGCTTTATTTGCAATCTTGGCTTACTATGAGAGGTTTGTCGATAACTTGGGAAAGTAAATAAGTCTTAAGGGCTTTTGATATCTTACCAGTTAGAATCCAAGCAACAAACAAAAGAAATTTGAAGTTGAACACAACATTTTACGGTCATCTATTACTTCGTTCCTATCCGCTCTGTCTCTTTTCATTTATCTAAAGTCTGAACGTCGCTGGTGTGAATTTGAAGCTTCTGTGGAGGAAGGTATTCTGTTCAGCAAGCTTTTGGAAGCTGAATTTCAAAGCTGCTGGCAAATTAATAAAGCAAAGGGGTAGAACGACTGCCCGCAATAACTTAGCGACCGCAGGATCATTAGGCAAACGGCGACATTCTCGCTATCCAATCGTGGGGAAGCCCGGAGAGACCGCTGTCTGCATTGGCTAGAGCAAATCCCTCTAGAGCAAATCTCTTTAGGTACTGCCCGTGCCAATCAGAGGATGCCTGGGGGCGGGCTTTGCAGCAAACAGAGGAACAAATCAAGCCAGGAGGGGCGGGCGCTCAGGCACTCTGGCCAATAAGGAAGTGGGCGTGGCCAGCTCCTGGGTTGTGGGCGAGACCTCTCAGCCAGAGAAGAGTGAGCGGCAGTGGGCGTGTTCCACGGTCGGTAGGCGGGGCGCGTGGCCTGGGCGGAGCGAACGGTGTCCGCGGCGGAGCCGGATGCGGGCGGTACTGCCGCCGCTGCCGCGGCCCTAGGGATGGGCGGAGCCCCGGCCGCTGGTGCTGGTGGCCACCGCCGCTGCGGGAACCTGAGCCGGAGCCGCCACCTCTGCCGCCGCGCGTCGTTGCTTCGTAAGGCGGCGGGATGCTGGGGAAAGGGGGAGTCGGAAGTGGCGGCGGCACTAAGGCGCCCAAGCCTTCCTTCGTGTCGTACGTACGTCCTGAGGTGAGACTGCGCCGGGCGAGCACGGCGGCGGGTGGAGTGGCCCGGGCAGGAGCGCTTCCTGCCCGGGTGCCGGGCGGGGCGAAGCGGCAGGACGCACTGGGGCCTCCGGGCTGGCCGAGGCCCGGACCCCTGCGGCAGGCTGGGCAGGTGCCGGGGCAGGGCCCTGTCGCTCGCCACCGCGCCTGTGGGCGGGAGCCGGAGCCCGGGAGGTCCTGCGGCCCCAGCTCCCCAGGTATCCGGGAAGGGAGCAGAAAGCCTGCGTGATAGGAACCCCGCGCGGGGTTCCCCGGCAGTCCGCAGCCTGGTGTGTATACTCTGCCCTGGACTTTCTCCGTGAGTCTGGAGAGCTCGCCTGCCGGGGGTGGTGCACTGCTTTCCGTCCGCGCTGTTGTAGGGAATGTGGGTCGGCCTTGGCCTCTTTCGGTGTCTGCCCAAAGCATTCTCCTCCCGCTACTTCTCATTTTATCGCACCCCTTCCAATTTGCAATTTTAGTCAAGAAGTGCTTTCACTCGGGAAATACTTTCTGAGCGCCTGCTGTGTGCCAGGTACGATCCTGGAACGCTTGTAATAACTATCAGAGAACAGAACAAAGATCGAACTCCCTGGGAGCTTATGTAAAAAGAGTCAACGATATGCATAAGTTAGTTGTATAGCATTTAGAAGATAGTGGGGGCAAGGCATCTTTTCATTCTTACAAAGGTGGTATTTCAGTCAAGACTTGGAAGACATTAGGTCTAGGTAAGGGGTCCTGGACGGACCCAGGGAAGGCTGCCCGTTGACAGTGTGTGTCTGGAGCTCCCTGCATGAGGCACAGAGAGGAGGTTGGAGAGATCAGCCCTCCTAGCCCACGTTGAAGACTTCTGGAGCAGTCATTCTTTACCTGTTAGTAGGCTCCTTCTCAGTTTCAATTTGTGAAAATTGTGAGATTGTTTTTTTTTTTTTTTTTTTTTTTCAATTTTGTTTGTTTGTCTCTGGATTATGTATCCTGGCTGTTCTGGAACTCACTGTGTAGACCAGTCTGGCTTCGAAGTCACAGAGCTCAGTCTGTCTCCACCTCCTGAAAGCTAAGACTAAAGGCAGTACTACCATGCCCGGCTTCCGCAGTCTGATCAGTAGTGTGCAGGTAGACGCTTTGCCAAATTCACTGCCTCCCGATGTGTTCCCACTTTTTCACCTTGTTAAGATGTAAAACAGGTGGGCCAGGGATGAGAAATCAGAGACCTGAGGCCTGCAGCCTTTGCATATGTCTTTTGAAGTCAAGGCGTCTAGTGGAGAGTACTAAAATGGAGCCTATTTTCAGTATTAATTGGCAAATAAAAACCACTTCCTCTGTCAGAACTTGATATCGAGAGGCTGGGCTCTCCCTGTAGTCCAGAGAGGTAACGTGGTCAGGTTCTCTCTTTGTCTTTCTTTGATAGCACCCTAGTTGAACACTAACTGGCTTTAACCTTTAACCTTTCCTGTTTAGTGAGAGTAAACTACAACTGAAGCATCTTCTGAAGTGTGACCAGAGTGCAAGAGTGCCCCAGTCGTCCTTCTGACCGCACTCTTTGCCCATGCGCCCTGCTATGTTTCATTTGGGAGGCAGTGGGGAAGGCAGTGGTTCAGCTCACTGTGCTCATAGTTCAGGGGTCCTTTTAGAGGGCAGTTTTGTGGTTTTGCATTTAAGACAGTGCTGTGAGGATGCTGTGCGGTGGTCCTCGTTGTCGTTTGTACTGGCTAAGACTCTCTACTCCAATTTGCATGGCTTATTAAAAGATAATGGTAGGAGGAGGTGAGAAAACAGCATATTTTTAAGTAGATGGCTTTGCCAGCCATCACATTACCGGAAATGGATGAGCAGCGTTCAGATGTTGCTTGTGTGTGGCCCCGAGCCCTGAGTCTGATACCCTCCTCACCTTGGGGGAGCCTCAGAGCACTTTTATGAAGACTAGTATCCACTATTTTTACCCTTTGATTTTACTGTCTGCCTGCCTTTTGTGTCCTGCGGGTGGTGTGTGTGTGTGTGTGTATGTGTTTTATTTATTTTTGGTGTTTGACTATGAACCATACCACTGTGAACCATACCACTCTGAAGAGACCCATTGTCATCTGATACCACTTTTCCCTGTGTGCAGTTCTGGAGCGAGAACACAGGGCCTCCACCATGATAAAAAAGTACTCTACCACTGAACCACGTGCCAGCCTGTCTTTTCTTTGTACCACTTTTCCTAGCTGGTAAATTTGCAGTTTCTGAGATGCTTTCTTGAAGGCGGATGACATAAGGTGCCAGAACCTTTACATCTCTTGTAGTGTAATTATGCCTACTCCTGGTGATAAGCCTACTGATCAGATCTTGGAACTTCCAGAGGCTTCTCCAGAGGTAGAAGCCTTTGCTAAGCCAGAACAGGATCTATCAAGAGTCAGCACTGTCTGTCCTAAAACATTGGCTAAAGTATTTGAAGATGAAGTTGTTAAACATGATCTTATTTTTCCCCTTTGTGATCCAAAGGGACTGCAAATGATAGCCTAAAACAAAGAGTAATGGTTAACTCTGGCTTCTGTGACTGTGCCAGAGTAGCCTGAGTTGTTTTGTCATTGATTCCTCTAAGTCGGTGAGGGTGACAGGTTAAGATCCTGAATCATAACATAGGACCTTTGGTCATGTTTTGTAACCTGTTCAGAGGGAAGCTGATGGTTCTGGAAGCTGAGATCTGCAGGAGGCAGGAATCTGGGGACACTTTGCTACTTGATATCGGATGTCTAGAACTTAGCTAAACCCTTTTCCTAGCTCAGCCTCAGGCACAGGTTGCAAGGAATGTCTAGCGGTATGCAGCAGAGATGCTGAGCTCTGATCCAGGGAGGCATCTGGTGATAGCTTGAGCACAGAGTCACTTTTCATGTGAAAATGAAAAGCTGTGTGAATTCCTATGTCAGAAGCCACAAGTGTTCATTATAGAAAAAATGAGATGAAGTTACACAAAAAATAGGTACAAGTTAGAAACTTGGGCTGGTTGTTGTTAGGCCTTGCAGAGGACCTAAGTTTGGTTATCGGAAACAATGCATCTCACCAACACCTGTAACTCCAGTTCCAGAGTACCTGAGGCACTCTCCTGGCCTCCTTAGATACACACTTGTAGCAAACACACACAAAAAACACACACAAACACAAATAAAAATAAACTTAAAAAAAACCCAGTGCCAGCCACACATGTAAAAATGTGCAGAGGACCTTGCTGCCAAGCCTGAGCGTCTGAGCTCAGCCGGTGGACCCTAACTGTGTGGAAGGAAAGAACCGTTTTCTATAAGTCGTCCTTTGACTTTTGCTCTGTGGCATGTGAGCACCCCCACACACGCACTACTCTTTTAATAAAAATAAATAAATGTTAAGAGATTACAGACTTGCTAATTATAATGCATCCTGTTAGATATATGTGCACGGTATGTGGGTTTGAATGGGGCTTACCAAAATGGAATTAATGTTACCAGTTATAATCTCAGCTGCCTTTTAAACCAAAAATGCACATTGTAAACAGCTCTCCATACCAGTTGTTAAGCCACAGTTCCACTTTGTGCCTCAGTGAAGACACGGTGATGGGAAACGCCAGGCAGCACAAACAGCCAGAGTGGCTGATGGGAGGACTTCGTATGTAGAAACCAATGCTGCGTGACAGTTCTGACTCTTCAGCCTTACCAGTTCTTTGCCAAGCTGCCTTGACCTATAAAATAGGTTCGTTTTATTTTTTTGTGTATGAGTGTTTGCCCTGCATGTGTCCTGGTGCCCAAGGCGGTCAGAAGAGTTCATCTGATCCCCTGGAACTGGAGTTACACATGGTTGTGAGTCACCATTTGGGTGCTAGGAACCGAACCCAGGGTTTCTGCAAGAGCAGCAAGTATTCTTCACTGCTGAGGCATCTCCCCAGTCCTTCTGGTCATTTTTTAATGCTTAGATCCATATGCACAGTGACTGGGCTCAGAAGCTTGTACAGAAAGGACAAGGACTAGGAGGAAGATCTGCTTTGATACAAGCACATTCCCTTGTGATGGGATGCTAAAGAGGAAGCTTCGTGGTACTTATGTGTTCTTTAAAACTGATCTGGGAAATGGCTCCCAAAAGGCTGCTACACACATCCATTTTTGCAAGGCATTCCAAATATGGTTAAAATGTACTTGCTCATGGAGTTTAGTCCGTGTTTGCCTTGGAGATACTAATAATAGTACCAGAGACTTGTTTTGTGGATTTTTTTTTTTTTTAGGTTGGGAAGAGAATATAATTTGTCCTCCATTTTACAGATGTATAAACTGAGTCTGCAGGGTTAAATGCCCTTGCACAGGGGCACAGGATTACTAAACAAAGAACTGTCTCCTAAAGACCCAGCAGTGACAGGGCCTAGCCAGGCCCATAGGAATTCAGGAAAGGTTTGTATGGTCCTGAGTGTATAAGAAGGCAGGCTGAGCAAGCCATTAGGAGCAAGCCAGGGAGCAGCACTCCTCCACAGAGTTCCCTCAGTGATGGACTGTGACCTAGAAGGGTGAACCAAACGGAGCTTTCTTTCTTTTTTTTTTTTTCCAGTGTGCTTTGGTCAGAATGTTTCATCACCACACTAGAAACACAGAAATGGAGAAAAGGCACGAAGAACCGTGCTCTTTCTCTTTGTCTCTCCTTCTTTTGATTTAAGGAGACAAACTTGTCCTTTCCTAGTCCTTACTCTGGCCCATTTCTGTGGTGAGCCATGAGCCTGTGTATTTCAGAAGTGAACCTATGAATTGCCAGCAATTTGCTCCTCTCATACAGTGAGTGTTTAAACTGGGATGTTCTGATGGTGCTGCTTTCTTCTTTTCCCTGTTTTTGTGGATTCAGGGAACTTTCAATACAGAACAGGCTTGCCCACATGTGGCTGTAGATGCCACAGTGCTTTTCTCATTGGTGTCTTTCCATGACCGGTTCCTCCTTGGCGTCTGTTAGATGCTGATCTGGGAGACTTACTGAGCAGGTACGGGACCTTCTGTTTGTTGCAGT